CCTGTGCAGTAAAAAATATTTTTTTGATCGTCGGTTGCTGAATGTCCCACGCAGGCCGCACGAAAATGACCTCGTACATGTCGCTAAAACGCGCGTGAACAGAACGTCGGAGCCACCAACAACAACAACAACAGCAACAGCAACAGCCACAGCCACAGCCACAGCAACAGCAACAGCAACAGCAACAGCAACAGCAACAACAGCAGCAACAACAATAACAGCAGCAGCAGCAACAACAACACCACCACCAACAACAACAACAACACCAACACCTACACCAACACCAACACCAACACCAACACCAACACCAACATTAACACTAACCCAACACCAACCCAACACCAACAACACCACCACCACCAACAACAACAACAACAAACTGGCAGGGCCAATAGTTTCGCGCAAAGGGTCTCTACAACACCATTTTAAACTACCTCTTGTCGGGGGCTTCGAACGTGGCTTTGCACTGCGCAGGGCAGCGAACACGTACTTGTGTTGGCAGGGCCAGCAGTTCGGAACGTGGGGTTGCGCGATTCGCAGGCCTGTCCAACATTTCGTGTGTGCTCGCAAAGACCGCCAAAAACAAGGAGCCAGGGCGGCCGCCGCGGAGCGTGCAAGCAACACCTGTGTTGGCAGGGCCAGCAGTTCGGCAAGCGGGTTAGCGTGCAAACAAGCTAGAAGCAGGCAAACAAACAAACAAACTAACAACAACAAGAACAAGAACAACAACAACAACAACAACAACAACAACAACAACAACAACAACAACAACAACAACAACAACAACAAGAACAGCAACAACAACAACAACAACAACAACACCAGCAGCAGCAGCAACAGCAGCAGCAGCAGCAACAACAAAAACCAACAGCAACAACAACAACAACAACAACGACAACGACGACAGAATCACAGCAACCGCCACAACAACCACAACAACAACAGCACCAACAACAACCGCAGTAACCGCAACAACCACAACAACAACAACGACAACAACGACAACAACGGCAACAACGACAACAACCGCAACAACCACAAAAACAACAACAACGTAAGGTTTTTAGCTACATTCCCCAAGACTGCCCTAACTCCACCCCAAGCCAACCATCCCTGAACTCATCCAAAGTCAACCCTAGGTAGCGTACAACTGACCCTGAGCCAATGCCAATCAATCCAACTGTATTCCGCCCTAAATCAACCCGTGACCAATCAGCCTGCAACCAGCCCTTATCAAACCCAAAACCCAAATCAATCCTTGCCTAAGCCAACAAGGCTTACCCCACTCACAAATTAAACCGACCCTGAAGCACCGACCCGCAAGCAACCCTAAACCAGCCCTTATCTCCACCAACCCCACACCCACAGAAACAACCCATCATAAACCCACCTACCTCCCCAAACTTTACACTTCCCTACACATCGGCCCTATTTCCAGCCACCCTATCTAAATCTGCACATATCTGCACTAAGCCAACTCTAGGCGAATCCTGAAACTCTGCGCACACCGTGTAAACTTGATCCAACCCTCCGTTCTGAATCCACTCTGAAGCTACTTGCAAGCTGAGTTCACCTGTCCCAAGTTGGCCCAGACTCTCAAAAATAGGCACCCCTTGCGTCTAGGCCCTGGATTAATGACGATTTGTCTATGATCCATGTGGGACGGACACGGGCCTTGGAACTCACGAACAAATTCCAACAAAAACCCAGGAACTCCGCCATTTCCCTTGTACTCTTGGAGCTGATTGTGTGTACCAACAAGGTTGAGGCTCCCATGATGTGTGTTTGGGCTTTATTTTTTTCTGCGGCGCGAGGAAAACTTCAAGACGGTGCTTTGCAAGTTCTACGAGCAGGGATACTGTAAAATGGACACCCGGTGCACCTTTGCCCACGGGAGAAATCAGCTGCGCGTACCGACGGCGAAGGCCGGAAGATGGATCCCCATCCCCATCCAGTTCGCTGTTGTTTTTGAAGAGGGGGCTTTTGCCAACATGACTCACGTGTGCCATGGTCAAAAGACAAGCCAGGTGTTTAGACACCATGCAAGCCATGGGTATATGTCAAAGAAATGCAAACAATTATGGTTTTCCTTTTGGTTTCCCTCATGAACAGGCTGGGATTCCAGGACTCTGTGGGCACCATTTTGTGCCAAAGACCTGTACTTGGGGTGTGACTTGGGAGGGTCATGGACCCTTAGAGGGCTTGCGCAAGCAATGCGGATTCCTGGTAAGCGAGCCATGACCACGGCCCACAGCTGCGGGTTTGGGCCATGGCACGTGTGAGCAGCGGCAAAACCCTACCTAGGTTATCTTTTTTTTTGTACGGTCCATACAAATCACACAAACCTTAAAAATTCTAGCCATCTTAGAACCAAACGTCAGCTCGGGTGTGAAACGGGCAAAGGATGTGGGGAACGGGGCGCCAGGAGAGCCGCCCGGAGAGCCGCCCGGAGAGCCGGAGCTTTGTGCTGAATACCATTGCTTTCCGTCAAAGGCGGTCCATGGCAGTGGACATCCGCCCGGTCCAGAAGAAACACCATTTGTGCCTTGGTTCCTGACCATTGCCTTAGACGTTGGGATGTTTAGATGTTGGAGGAGTTTGGACATTTAGGTTTTTGGACTTTTGGGCATTTGGGCTTGTTTGGACTTGTACATGTTGGAGGGCTTTGGATTTTTAGACTGTAGTTTCAGATGTTGGAGGATGTTTGATTGGACTTTTGGACTTATAGATGTTGAAGGACATTTGGGCTTTTGGACTTATAGATGTTGGAGAACTTGTGTTCTTTTGCACTTCTACATGTTGTTGCATGTTTGGACTTTTGGACTTTGGTTGGTTGGAGGGCTTTTGGACATTTGGACCTTTGAATGTTTAAGCATTTTCGGACTTTTAGATGTTGGATTACTTTTGGACTTTTGGACTTTTAGATGGAGGAATTTTAGAGTTTTGGGCTTTTCGGACTTCAGAGGATTTTTATGACACATGCTATTCAAGGTTTAACTTTTTTGTTCAGCGAACCACTAAGGTGCCGATCCTGCCTTGTGAAATGCACCCTGCGGAATCTCGGCGGGGTAAGTTTTTGGAATTTTCCATGCTTGGTTCAAAGTGGGGGGTCCCGAAGGATCCATACGCGCTTGTCCATGGTGCGAAAACGAATCCCTGTTAATCCATCCAGAACAACTTGCACAGCGGGTGTATCTGCAGGAAACATGATCTCAGAATGCATGTTTGTGGATGGCCGCAGCTTGTCTTGCGAGCACGCGCAACGCTCGCCAAAGCAGTGGCAAGCGGGTCACCGAGTACTTTTCTGTTGGCGCTTGCTTGAAGAGGCTCCTGTGAATCCTATTCTGGAGGCACCCGTTTGCAACTGTCCCCTCAAACCCTAATTGATTGAGGAGGTCCTGGCTGGGTGAAAGGTTTTCTTTTGGTGGCAAGCTTGGTCCTTTTACCTTCGGCAATGCTTGCCTGTCTTTGCTCGGCAACACTGGCATACCAGGTATGGGTGACCTGACGCCCAAACCAGGGAGATGGAAGGAGAGCTTGCGGTCACTGGTAGAACAGGTCATCAATGCCAATCCCATCATGCCGGGAGCACCACATGGAGGAAGTTCCCATCAAAGATTCGACCGAAATGACGCTGGTGAAGCAATCACAAACGAGCCGTCTGAGCATGACATTCCTGATCAATGGTAATGGTGCTTGGGAAGTCTTGAAGCTGCAATAAAGTCTCCCAAGCCGGAACCACGCACACGAATTTCTTCCACGGGCTTCAACTCAATTCTCCGTCAGAATAGAGACGCTGCCAAGAGTCCAAGCGAATTTGAGCGGGCGCTCCCAAATGTTCATAGGTCCGCTATTAAACATGAGTCAATCCAGCTCATCCTTACCAGATTCATATTGAGGGTCAACGCAGCCAAGTGAGCAGCGCCCAAACGCCCTAAGATACCTGGTTAAGGAGATGATGAGGCCAATATCATTTTACTATCATATTGCTAGAGCCAAAAGTCCGCTTTGGGCACTGTCAGGAAAGGAGTGCCTTTCCCTCGGATGGGGCACCGGGAGTCCTATGGCAAGGATGGTGCTTGGACGTATGTCTACTTTCCCGCCGAGTTCAAAGAGTTTCAGGAGGATGTGGCGCATTTCATCACGCTGAATCTTGGCAAGACATTTCCACATGGTCGACTGTCACACCCAGGGGGGCTTCCATCACACAAAGCCCCACCCAGAAGCCAACCAACTGTTCCAAATAGAGGCCACAGATCCGGCGAGCTTGCCGATTCTGGAGTAAACCGAGCGAAACCCATGTACCTTTACTCAGGGACAAGATTCTTATGTCAGGTTTTGGCATCATGAATATGTAGATCTTAGCCCCTGTTGTGAACCTCCAGTTTACGAGCCACACATGTTTGCCGCTGGCCATTTTGAGCAAACTCCCTTTCTCTCAAACCCAGGACTGGCGACGCCGCAGAGCCCCGCTGGTTTTTCGTGGTGGATCATGTGGCTCTGAAAACTTCAGAGCTGTCATTGCCCATCCTGCAGGCGGGGTTAAGGCAAAAGGGCAGCTTGGGGTGATTCGGTTTGCAATTTGCTCGGGGTTCTTGCACGAATTCCTGCTTTTGAAGTCCTCAAGAAAGGGCCAGCGTGGGGGGCCTTCCTTCCAAGACTCTTCCAGGCAGGCTTTGATTGGACGACGAGCAACCAGCGGGCGTTTGAGCATATCATGTATCTTGGCTCTAAAGGTTTTGGATTCAGCCTTCCACAAATCTCTGAGATCACATGTTGGCACCACGCATCCAAATCCTGCCAGTTACGGGAGATTCTTGTCTCTGCTTGCGGACAACGGCTTATCCTAAAGCCCTCGAACTCATAAATTGTAGCGTGTGTGTGCGTAGTTTAGTAAGGCCGTGGCTTTTTAAACAGCAACAGCAAATCTCTGCACAAGCACGCATGTGCATGAGTTGATGTACGTGAAACAGCCGCATCTGAGCTTTCGAGTACTGCCACCCACTGGCTCGAGAGTGGGGCGGGAAGAACCACAGATTTCTGTGGCGTAGAACTTTCGCTGCATTTGTGCAGCTTGTTGCTGGGCGTTTGTCCAGTAGTTCGCAGACATGACAGGGAGGAGTGATGGCGAGTGCGAACATACGGACAACCGTTTAGTTCCGCACGTGCGGGAAGACCCACAGGTTGCGTCTAAAGCTGCTGCTGCGTGGCACCAATTGATGAAACTCAACCTGTAACCATGCCTTGGGATGTTAGATATTTGGTAATTGTTTTTGGCCAGAGATCCAGCAGCGAAGTGACGCTGGGGCTGGCTTCACCCGCAAAGGCACCAAGACCGGCGATGGAAATGCAGAAGAGACAGTTTGACTCGGGGCACGATAGCTCAATAGACGTGAAGGCGAAGAAGGCGAAGGGTTTTTCCACGAGCTATTTGCACTGCGGCGTTGAAGGGTCCTGATTCAGCTGTTGTAAATGAGTCTGCAAAACGGACAGCAGCAACTGCAAGGTGGGTGGCTTTGATGCTTACAACCTTATCCGCCTTCAAAGTTGGACGTACTGTTCTTGCAGAGGGCGAACGCGACGCGTAGAAGGTGCAGACAGTCTTGTCCGACGCGTTTGCGTTGAAGGCAACAGCGACTTGACTTTGCTGAAGCGTGTGGCATCTCTCGAGAAGTAAGCAAATTGGTGTGCCCTGCAACTCAAGCAGCCCTTGCCATTCTGCGACCCGATTTTGTACGCCTACCTCGGCAGGTGGCAGGCCTAGTAGCGGTTGCTGGCTCACCGCGCACCAAGGCAGAGATGGTGCCTCCACCCTGTGACCGGTCAGCTGCCCCAAGGCTGGCTGGGGACTGAGTAAGGCCTGGGGACACTTTCACTGCGGACCATTCCCGGAGCCGGAGGTCGCCGCTGACCGTTGGGCAGATCACCAAAGTTTTGCCTGACTGCAGCCCCGGGCGCAACCCTTGCAAGTATTCACGGCTGAGGAACGCAGTCTCCATCACGGCGGATTCATAGAGCTTCGGGTCAGCTGCCAGCGGGAGGTGTGGCTGGCGGCTTGTGCGTCGTAACAACGGCGCCTTGCAATTGCCCTTCATGCCATGTTGAGTTGAGCATGGCCCCAAAATATGACTGATCGCAGACTGCTTGGGCGGCCAACTTGACGTCTGAGCCTGCTGGGCGCAGTGGGCGTTCGGGTAGTGTCTGCTTTTTCATCACGCAGCAACTGAAAATGCTTGCTCCAATTGCGCAATTTCACTTTGCTGTTTTCATCTTGGCCTTGGCAGCAAATCCAGCCTTGTCAGGTGCCACGGCCTCTCTCGTCAATTCGAAAGCCACGTTTCAGGCACATTGCTTTTGGCGAGAACCCACTCTGGGACAGAAGGCAATCGAGAGACAGATCTCATTTGGAACTGAGAAGGGCAGCAGCTGCAGATGGTTGCAAGTGTGCAGAGAACCCGTCAGTGACATTCAACCTCCTTCCACTACCAGCTGGCCCTGGAAAGAAAGATGATGGGCGTGCGAGCCGGCGCAAAAGAAGCAGAAGACAGAAGCGAGCCAAGCCTGAGGCTACCTCGCCTGACTCCAAGCAAGAAGGAAAAGGACGGGGCAAGAAAGTTGCTCGTCTGACGCCTCACACCCTCCACAAGCGCATGAAAAGTGCACAGAGCAGCGAAACCCCAACAGCCCAACCATGGTTGGGGCCTTGAGCAGTTGCAGACTGGACGTGTGTCGGAGTTTTCTGCTCTCAGGAGTGTGGGTTCATGAAAGGCCAAAAAATAGGCCTGCTGACCCTAGACTTGCGCAATGACGATGTTGCACGACCGCCGCAGTAGTTTTCAGAGAAGGCCGGGCTGATCTGGAGAGAGCGTGTCCACCAAGACGCCAAGATGAAGTGGATCTTGGAGATGATGAAAGGCTGTGAGGAGCAGAAGCAGCGGGAGAAGGAGTTGCATGAGAGTTTGCCATTTTCAGTGGAGGTTGCGCCTCATCAGATCGATGAAGGTGGAGTGTGTGTTGCCAAGGCTGATGAGCCAAGACGTCCACTTTTTGACGGGGCTGCTGCTATGGCGCGGCGCACCACGGAGGGTGGGAGTTTCAGGAAAAACCTCCCAACTTGTCCGGCACGCCGAGGCAACGAAAAAGACCATGTGCTTCGCGCTCTCCCACTGAGGTTTTGACATGCGCTCAAGAGAGACTTGTCACTTGGTTTTGTTGCTGGTGTCCAGTCCCTCCAATAGCAAAAGCAAGAGGGGTGTGGCCAAGTCATGCCCACTACTACTCTACCATTTGATCAGCAGCCAGACAAGAGAAATCCCAGGCACGATGTCAAGGAGACGCTTTTCGGCCAGTACTTTGATGAGGATGTGGAGGATGATGTCAACATTCTCAAGTTTCTGACTGTTCAGTGACTCATCTCATGTGCTCAGTGCTTGTCATCATTCAACAGTTCTTGCTGTGTGATTGGCCATTCAGTGGGGGAGAAGCTTCACGGGAAACGCA